TCACAAGACTGTGTAACTCAGGAAATGAGCACAGGCAGAATCAAAACCTGAAATGAAATCCTTGTTAGAAATCACTGAAAGGGGGAAAGGGAAACAAAGGAGGAGGCTACAATGCTTGATAAGAAATGTACTCATTATCTTGCCCATGTAATTGTAACCCCTCTGTACAGTATTTCCACAATTAAAAAGAATAAAAATAAAACATCCACGTACTTGAGCATCGACCCAAGGATTGTATGCCTGGGGGGAAATGCTAGGTGACAGCGGTCCATCCTCAGGTTGTTTGTGATTGAAGCTTATATCAGAATAGCATGCATGCGGTGAATTCTGTGTAGATATCCAAGGGGGCATGTGGTGAATTCTGTGCAGACATGCAGAGGGCATGCAGTGAATTCTGTGCAGACATGCAGAGGGCATGCGGTGAATTCTGTGCAGACATGCAGAGGGCATGCGGTGAATTCGGTGCAGACATGCAGAGGGCATGCGGTGAATTCTGTGTAGACATGCAGAGGGCATGCGGTGAATTCTGTGCAGACATGCAGAGGGCATGCAGTGAATTCGGTGCAGACATGCAGAGGGGAGGGTTAGCGCAATGGTGAGGCATGGATGAGTTGGAAGGCGTTTGGAGCACAGCCTGGTGATTACAGAGCAGCACGAGATGGAGTTTCACAAAGATCTCTACAGTTTTGCCTCATAGTTGCTCTTTTATCACCCCTGAGGCCTTGTGGGATGGATAAGCATTTGGATTGTGAAGTTTTCTATTTTTTAATTCAAGGCCTGTGCTAGGCAAGAATTCTACTACTTGAGCCACATGCTAACTCCTGGCTTTGGTTTTTGCTTTTATTGTTTTTCAGGTAGGATCTCACTTTCTTGTCTAGGTCTGGCCTCAGGTTGTAAGCCTCCTTACCTTCACATAGTTGGGATCACAGTCACTTAAAACCATACACAGGCTATTTGTTGAAATGAGTCTCACACACTTTTTGTCGGGGCTGACACAGCCATGATCTGATCCCCACTCAGTATCTGTCTTTCTGGGGAGCTGGGATTATAAGCATGGGCCACTGCTCTTGAGCCTGAAATATAAAGTTCGGTAAGCTTACTTAGAAATAACTAAAGACATCACTCTTTCTAGTTGCCATTTGGAGAATGTACACATCCAAAGGAAGTCTACTTGGAGAATAATCACATTAGGTTTTTCTTTACCTATCCGTTATTCTTTTTTTTTGGTCAGTTCTGGGGCTTGAACTCTGGGCCTGGGCATTGTCCCTCAGCTCTTCAGCTCAAGGCAAGCGCTCTACCACTTGAGCCACAGTGCCACTTCCGGTTTTCTGAGTGGTTTATTGGAGATAAGAGTCTCACCAACTTTTTCTGCCTGGGCTGGCTTTGAATCGATGGTCAAATCTCAGCCTCCTGAGTAGCTAGGATTACAGGTGTGAGCCACCAGCACCCGGCCCAAATTATTCTTTATAGAACCTAATACGGTTCCCTAAATGCAGTGGATGTCCAATAGTGCTTACCATAAAGCTATAAATAAATGCCCTTAGTTTGAGTTTGCATAATTTGCAGACGTGGAAAACAGGAATCAGTTACTCAGTTATATTGTGTTTTTCTGCCAAATAGTGTTACTTGGATTTACAACTGTACAATGGCAACTTATATCCTGATAGAGTGGGGAAAAAGAGACATGGGGCTAAGCAATGAGTAGTAACAGATGCTAAAAATAGAAATAAGTATAGTAACAGGAGGGAGGGTCTCCAGGAAATGGCAAGAGTATAAAGCTGGGGATCATGTGGTGCAGTTGCATTTTTGAGTGGTAGCGGGTGACTGAATGGGTGGGTGGATGGATGGATGGATGGATGGATGGATGGGTGAATGGATGGGTGTAGTAGGCTGGATGGATGGATGAGTAGATGGACAGATGGATGGATGTGGTTGGATGGATGGAGGGATGAATGGCAAGGGAGGGATGGGTGAACAGAATAGAATGATGAATGAACAGATGGATTTGGTTGAGTAGATGGATGGATGATGGATGGAGGAGTAGGCAGGTGAGTGGATGGACAGAGGGATGTGGTTGGTTGGGTGGCTAGATGGATGAATAAGCTGACTGCATTTGTGGTAGTAGACATAGAAATGAAGCAACTAGTTTAAGAGACACTAGAGAGGTGTGAATTATCAGATTGGCGTTGATTTTCCTAACAAGAGGAAGAGTCTCAAGATTCTGAAACATCTAGCCCGTGGATCAGAAAGAGATGTGCAGGGCAGTAGATTTTAGGAGAAAGAAGTGAAACCTAACATGGGCTTGTGGGGGTCAGGACCGACACACTGGATTCCGTGCATATGTAGTGGCAGGGTCGTATCACAGTTGGTGATCACGGCAGTCATTTATATAGTTAAAAGCATGCAAACTGTGAGATACAAAATACAGCCATGACAATACACACAGCTTCATGGTGGAACCAAGTATATTAATTTATGAACGTGTCTCTGTAGGTCTGCAGTAGTTCCCAAGGTGATTACAATACCATCTGGTTACAACCTTAGAATCAACAACTTATTCGCATTTTAATCTTCAGGGAAAAGCAGACGCCTTTTAACATTTAAATTTATCTCTACTGTTGACAGTAAATTATGCCTGCTTTTCTTTTGGCTTGTAGGTCTTATCCAACCCATTCCAAGAAGCCAGTTTTTCCAAAGTTATTTTAATAATAATTTTGTCAATGAAGCAGATAGACCATACAAGTGTTTTTACTGTCATCGGGCATATAAAAAGTCTTGCCACCTTAAACAACACATCAGGTAAGGTAACATAAGTTACAGAAAAGGAAGTTTTGTATAATTATAGAGACTTAGTGGTCTAATGACTTGTAGGTCACTAGGGAGGGGATGGTTTTGGTGTTTTGTTTTTGTGTTGGCACTTGGGCTTGAACTCAGGATCTTTCTTTTTCTCTTGCTTGTTTTTTTCACTCAACCACTTGAGCCATGCCTCTAGCCCTAGCTGATATTTTTATTGTCAACTAAAACATTTTACTTAGATATTGATCAAGCCCTAGTGACTTGTGCCTATAATCCCAGCTACTCAGGGGGCTGAGATCTGGAGGATATGGGTTCAAAGCCAACCTGAGCAGAAAAGCTCTTGAGACTCCATCTCCAGTTAACCAGCAACAAACCTGGGCAGAGGGTATGTCTTAAGTGGTAGAAGGTCAGCTATAAAAAAGTGATCCAAGTGATCAGGAGGCCCTGCTTCTAGCCTCAGTACTGGCGAAGCAAAGGAAGAAAAGAAATCTCTACTTAATTTTATTCATAGTTCCATTACATTTTGGTGTTTACAAGTTACAGGAAAGATCAAAGAGGAATCTAGTTATTTGATTTGATTTATTTTGTTATGTTTGAGGTTTGCAGAGTCTGGGTCTCTGCTGCCTAACTGCTTAGCTGGGAAAATGTGATGCTGGGGTACAAGGCATATAAGTGTGTATGCTCATAATGAAGTGTTATCAGAACAGAAGAAGAGCACTCATCACATTGTCTTTCTTTTAGATCACATACAGGGGAAAAGCCTTTTAAGTGTGCTCAGTGTGGAAGAGGCTTTGTTTCTGCAGGTGTGCTCAAAGCGCATGTCCGGACGCACACAGGACTGAAATCTTTTAAGTGTCTGATCTGTAATGGAGCCTTTACCACTGGCGGTAGTTTACGGCGGCACATGGGCATACATAATGACCTCCGTCCCTACATGTGTCCTTACTGCCAGAAAACATTTAAGACCTCCCTAAACTGCAAGAAGCACATGAAAACCCATAGGTAGGTATAATTCTGCTAGTCACTTTATTTATTCATTGCTGATTGTTACTTTTTATTTATCCACAATTCCCAGATAGTGGGATACAAAAGCCTATAATCCTAAGATCCTAGCTATTGAGAGGCTGAAAAACAACTGGGCGTGGAGGTATGGCTCTAGTGGTGGAGTGCCAGCGGGAAGTAAGAAGCTGAGCGGGAGCGCAAGGTTCTGAGTTTAAGCCCTAGTACTGGCCAAGAGAAAACATAAAAAAGAAGGAATAATTATCTTTGATTTCTGCATTACCATTTCTAACTTGGAGCATATATGGGCTGCAGAAACTGTCAGTGTCTGAGGATCTACTGAGACCAATAGATGAATGCATTAACTTATTCATTTATTTATCTCTTGAAACAGAGCTTCACTATGTAGCCCAGGGTGACTTTGAACTCCTGCCTGGGCCTCCAAAATGTTGGGGCCTTAGAAATGTACCTCTATTTCCACTTGGCTCTTGACCTTTGCCATGAGAGAGGCCTGAAACTTGGGAACTCATATACCCAGTGGCACATTGAATGATACTTTTCTCTGTTTTAAGCTAGGCCTTCTGTGGTAGTACTGGGAAAACTCTTAAGGCATTGAAAGCTTTTGAGGCCACTGGCCAGTGGTATAATTGCTAGGTCACATGTACTAGGTGGAACTGGTTGGCTACTATTTGTCCTGGGTTACACTAAGGAACATAGGTAGGAGTAGTATGATTCTATAGACTTGAAGTGAATGACTCTGAGGTGACCTTCGACAGGTAGATCAGGCTGTATGTACGTGAAGCTGTACATCCACGAGCAGAGAGGAGGTCTTGTGTCTTGTCACTTTCTCTGAGGATCGCTAGATGTGCAGATGCTGTTCTCTTCTTGTGGAAGCAGCGCTGTGGCTCAGGTGGCAGAGCGCTGGCCTTGAACACAAGAGCTCAGGGACAGCGCCCAGGCCCTGAGTTCAGGCCCACGACTGAAGAAAAAAGAAAAAAAAGATACTACCAAAATAGATTTGCAACTATGAAAAAAGAACAAGGAAACCTACTGAGGATGCTGTTGAGCTTGGGGGCAAGGGGCAGGGAATGCTTTGGAGGGGTGAACTTGACTAGAATCTAGAGTAACCATATGTGGAGATGTAACCTCAAAATCCTTCTAAAACTATAACTATAACTGTAACTACAAGCCAATCAAACACAGATATTCATTGTTACAGTGCTAAATCCCCAAACCTAAGCAAGCAAGCAGAAAAGACATTTCTACAATTGCCACGTGAGTTAGCGTCTCCCAGGGAGAGTGGGGAAGTCTGTTTCTGAACAGTGCCACTCTGCAGAGGAGCGAAGAGTGTGTCTTCCGATGCCTTGCTTCGTGTACACTTTCTTCTTAGTCTGGTCCGCAGTAAAAGTTGATGATAACTGATGTCAGGATCTGAGGAGAAAACACTTTGTTGGAGCTGAAAATGAGATTCTGTAGAGGTGGATGGCTAAGATTAAAGACACACAGCATGGGCCCGGCGGGAGCATGTGTTTGGGACAGGAGCAGGAGTGCAGGGATTTCTGCTTTCTCCATGCTGGTGATCAAATGAGCTCTTAGATGACTGGCCATTTGTTAGTCCTGTGTGTGTGTTGTTGTTGCTGCTGCCTGACAGAAAGAGCTTAAAATAGCAAAGATTTGTTTTGGTTCCCAGTTTCAGAGGCGTCAGGTCTTAGTGGACTGGCTACGTATTTTTAAGCTGTAGTGAAGCAGTCTTAGTGATGAGGAGGATGTGGCCAGGCCTGTGTGGCTCATGGTAGCCAGGAAATAGGAAGAGGGAAGGAGGTGGGGAAGGAGTATATCCTTTGAAGACACGTTCCCAGTGACCCCCTTCCTTCTACCACCTTCCAATAATGCCACCCGACTAGGAATCCATAAGAGGATGGATCCACTTACCTCTTCCTGGAGGTCAGACCTTGAGGGTCTTCTCTCCCTGGGGAGCCAAGCCTCTGGATGATGTCCTACCAAACCCTTCCCCTGCTAACATGGGCAGACTGTGGACCGTGAGTCAGCAGGTTATAAGATTGCTTCCCCTGCTAACATGGGCAGACTGTGGACCGTGAGTCAGCAGGTTATAAGATTGCTTCCTCTGTCCATGCACCGCCGCCTTTGCTTGAAACATTTTAATAAAGCATTGCCTCAGTTCTTTTCCTGAAAGCTTGTAGCCAGCACAGAATTGAGGTTTGGAGTTTTTTTTATTTTTTACTTTTTGGAGTTTTATTTTTAAACAGGTAAAATATTTTGTAATTTCTTAAACTTTAAGTAGAAATTCTGTTCCTTTGTATCTTGTGACCCTTAAGGTTTGCTTTTGATTTTTTTTTATCATTTTTTTTGTATTAATATAAAGGAGTCACAGTTATCTAAATCAGGTAAAGAATACATTTCTGTTTGTTTGTTTGTTTTGTTTTTTGGGTCCGGTCCTGGGGCCTGAACTCTGGGCCTGGGCGCTGTCCCTCAGCTCTTCAGCTCAAGGCTAGCGCTCTACCACTTGAGCCACAGCACCACTTCCGGCTTTTTT